TGGTGAGAAATGCTGGGAGTGTTTATTAGCCACAAACACAGGGTGCTGGGCAGGTCAGCCAGAAGTCCAGACCCAGGCAAGAGGGTGCCGGTAGGGCCTGGGGGGACCCTGAACCCAGGCATTAATTAGAAACACTCGTCCCTGGACCAAGCCGGCTTGCATGAGCTGTTGGGGCCTGTGTTCACTCCATAAAGATGTTTTATATGGTATTCCTGGCAAGAGCTCGCCACTTTAAAAGAAAAATAAAAGAAACATTATTGGTAGCCCAGGGACGAGGGGCGCGCTGCTGCTTCTCTGCCTAGGGTGGGAGTGGCCAGGACCCGGATTCCAGCCTGCCTGGTGCTTCCCTATCCGTGGGGCGGAGACCCCAGCGCTCCCTTCATGCACCGGGGACGCTGGATAACGCTGGGCAGGGGTCGCTGAAGGCCCGAAGGCCCGGGGTGTTTGAAGATGAAGCGCCCCCAAACCACTTTCTGCCCACGCCGGCCGTCTTCAAGAAAACACACGAGAGGCAGTTCTGCAGCTGACAGTAATGCTCTAGGGAAGGGGAAGTAGGCTAGTGGCATGAAAGCGGGGGAGAAACCACCCATCTGTAGTGGTTAATTAGACTCTTGGAGCTCAGTTGCAAATCTCTGGAGAGCATAAATTGCATTTCTTTCTTGCCACTGGCTTCCTTCTGGGTGTCGCCAGGAGGGGGCGCTGGAGAGAGGGCAGAGGAGAATGCATGCCTCCATTCATTTCGCTTCCTGGTCTGCCTCCTCTGCCTAGCTGCCCCATCATGTTGGCTCCTTTGCAGAGGTCAGAGCTGGCCCATGCAGCCCTTCTCCAAACCTTAAGTCTTAGGCATTCCAGCTTCTCCCCCTGCGCCCCCATCCCTTGGCCACCTGCTGCTTCCAGTTCTGACCATCTGTGCAGCTTGGCGCCCCGGATCTGCCTCTTCCGGTCTTGGCCAGCACAATGATCTGCACAGTAAACTCTGCCTTAGAGTAACCGGCCTGTGCTTACCGGCTCCAGGCAGGCGCCGGCTGAATCAGAAACGCAAATAACCACTTTGACACTGTGAGGGGACCACAGACAGGTCAGGGGCACCTTGCACGGCAATTTTCCTCAGGATGATAGTGTGAGAGTTGTGTTCACTTCTTCTTAGGTTTACTTTTTATGTTGACAAATAACACTGCTTTATTTTTAAGATTTTTTATCAGTACGTTTTCAATACATAATGTTTACATCCATCTTCAGGGTTATGTACATGCACAATCCTGGACAAGAAAAACCAAGTAGGAGTTATCACTATCCCAGACTTAAAAATATACTACAAAACCACAGTGATCAACACAGTAAGGAAAGGGGCGTGTGGATCAGGGAACACAACAGTAGAGGAAGGAGCCACCCACGGCTCATTCAGACATCTGATCTTCAGCACCTGCTAGGTGAAAGGTAACCCCTGTAGCAAATGGGGCTGAGAAAACTCCTTATACCCTAGCAGAAGGTTATAAAGAACGTCTTGGTGAGGATCACCATCTAAGCCTACAGTGCACGGTGGAAAGCCAGTTCCCCAACTTGATTCTTTCCATGATTCTGGTCGCAGACTGAGTTGGAAGAGAACTGTATCTAATGCAATGGTTAGGTTCAATGTTGACCTTGTGGGAAATCTGAGCCAGTCTGGTTTGAGACCAGAACTGTGGAGAGAATGGAGTTTGTGAAGCAAAGTAGCATCGTGTTTCACCTCATTGGCATTGGACAGTGGTGTAGACAAACAATACAGAAGCTTGTAAGTTCTTAAACCTAAAAGGGAGTCTCCTAGGTCACCCCTGACCAGTGTCTCACTTGCCTTTACCCCATCACTGCCCTCCCTGTGCCCAGAGTGGCTGCTGTCTCTTCCTTCTCTCCACGAGCCAGTTGCATACTGGAGAGAAACTCTGCGGCGTGAAAGCTCCTCCCTGAAAAAAAATAGTTAAAAAAAAGGAAAAAAGAATCCTTGTGGTAGAAAAACATCTACAGAGACAGTAAGAAATGCCCAGCTTGGAAACACAAATCACTTGGTTTATGGGACAAAACTAGGAGATACCTATCTTTGTTTTCACAGAAGTAAATATTTTTTAAAAATATACTGCTTGTGTATATTCTTCCATTCCAGCTGGAAACAGTCGTTGCAAAACAGCCTGAGAGCAGCCACTGAGGAATCGTGAGGTGGTCAGGGCTCTGTACTCCCGCCGGATGGAGAGTGTCCATGTAGTAGCCCTTTCCAGTGGATGAAGGTTAAAGGGGAGGGTGGAGTGGGGGGCCCTGGTGATGGGGGAGTACAAGGTGTCCATCTCGTGAAGCCTGGAGTAGCTGGACTTGGGAAGCTGCAATTCCAGAGACTGTCACCCCGCTTGCCTCTTCCTTTCCCTTGGTGACAGGCAGATGTCTCCAGGGACAACACCACTCAGAGTCTCAGGGCCGGAAAGTATACAACACCTTGGGGTGAGGAACTTTGAGACCAGCATTTTTCTTCCCTGGATGGCTCTATCTGCAGCCCTTGGGGGCATCTCTGGTTCCCAGGGGAAGAGGCCCTTCTGCTGGGGGAGGTGGCAGCACCCAGATATCCCAATTTCAGCGGGTTCCAGGACAGGGACATGGGTGTGCACCTGGTACACATACACAGCACACCTACAGAAGCTCGGTCAGAGCACTAGAGCTTCCCCTGCTGGCTCACCCCTTCCTCCAGGGATCTCTCCCTTGGACTGTCAGTCCCCAGAGTCCCGGATGTTCATTCCCACCCCACTTCTGGCTGGAAACTCCTCTTGCTTCCTCAGATGCGGTTCAGGGAAGGGAGTCTCTCCGGGGTGCTGGGTGTTCCTTTTTCAGCTCTCCACACTCAACTGTAGTGCCCAACACGGAAATTTCTACCTTCTTCTTGCCTTGCCCATACTTTCTTAAATTTTATCTGAAGATCAAGGAATCCAGGCTGGTGTAGAATGGGGATGAGGAGTGGCTGAAAACCTGCTCCACATTGTACTTCTGTCCACAGCTGGTGGAAGGACAGTACTTCTCTGTCCTATGGATGCAGTGAGTCTGGAGTTGCCAGGGTCCTCTTCCTGCAGGGGTGAGGCTGCTATCCTGTCAGGTCAGAGACTGCTGCAGCCTAAAGATTTGAGTCCCCCTGAATTCATCTGTTGAAACTCCTAAAGTGATAATGTTTGACCGTGGGATCCTCACGAGGTCATTAGATCATAAGAAAGGGACCAGGGCCCTTAGAAGGTGACCCCGGGGAGCTCCTTGACCCTTCCACTGTGGGCAGAAAGAATAAGGAGACTGCACCCATTCGGCCATGAACCAGAGCGTGGAGCCTCACCAGACCCTGGAGCCTCCTCACCAGACCCTGAATCTGCTGGTTCTTTAACCTTGGATTTCCAGGCCACTGGAACTGTGGAACATGCATGTTGCTTAAGCCACTAGCTGGTGATGTTTGCTGTGACAGCCCTGATGAAGACAGAGAGCTCTGCTGCCTGTGTGCTCTGAGAGGCTGGGGATGAAGATTTTCCTGGGATGCCAGAGCTCAGAGGCTAAGCAGGGCTCCTGCCTACTCCAAACCCATTGACATGTGGCTGGGTGGTTTGTGCCAACTGCAGGGCTCACTTGGCAGTACTGGGCAGTCTGGAGACCGCTTCTCAGACAGCTGGTTCTGGTTCCAGTCTTTCTTCACCAAGGATGGGGACTGGGCATGGTGGCTGCATGAGTTCATCTCCTGTGCCCATCAAGGTGGGTATCCAAATCACATTCCAAATAGAGGGACATGGCATCTCGTCCTTCACACCGTCACTAAGTCACCTAAACACTTATTCCTGGGACATCTTGGTCAGCTCTGGGTCAGAAGTACCCAGAGCAGTGACACAAAAATACCCCTCCCACTATCGTCCCTAAGACAGTGTGGGCAGAGTGTTTATGAAGAAGGTGCCAACTTTTTATGAATGCAAGGTAGAACATAGAAATAAACTAAGGCATAAAATAATCCAGTGACTGCTGCATGTGAATAGGTTCAACATGGAAACGAGTTTCAAACTAGCTCTCAGCCCTAGGCTCTTTTGGCTATGTTGTAATTTCTGCTTCCCTGGGTTATATCAATTTTGACTTAGATTATAGTCAAGTGGAATAGAACTGTCCTGTACCATGGAAACAGTGTCTTCCATTTCATGTGCATACATGATCCTCCCTGGGGAATCTACAGAGTCTGTGAGGCTTCCAAAGGGCTCCGTGTCACCCAACAGGTCCTTATCCTATTGTGACGGGGCTGAAGTCAGGTGAACTCCATATAGCTCTCCATAGGCAGAGCCCAGGGAAGATGTCCGTGTTGGGAGGCGACCATCCCAGCCCGAGAAGGATACTTACTTTGGCAGCATATAGGAGTGGTCAGTTGGAACAACCACAGAGGATAGTTCACACATCTGTACCCCTACATCCCCGGAGCAGACTCCTCAGAGGTTAGCACTTCAGACCCAGGAGGACTTGCGGTCATCTGACTTGGACATCTATAGAACTGACCTCATGGTGGGGTCATCTGGGGAGCTTTGAATGCAAATCATGTCTGGAAACCCCTTAGCTTTTTATTGTAATGGTTCGAGGGTGGGATTCTGGCCTCTATCACATTTTTAAGCCTTGTAGGTGATTTTCATGTCCAGCCAAGAACCACAGACCTTCTACGCCTGAACTGCTTCATCTAGGCTGCACACTGGAACCCCCTCCTGCCTGAGTCCCATCCTCAAGATCTTCTGATGGAACCAGGCAGGAAGGTGTTAGCACCAGAAACTTTAAAACTAACCCCAGTGATTCTTACGGGCAACCAAATTTGGGAATCACTGTTGGAGTCTCACTTCCCTCTACAAAGAAAACAAAGCCAAAGAGAAGCACCTGAGGCTCCAGAGCCAAGACAGAGCAAGGTTAAACCCACGACTCTTTCTAGGGCGGTTCAGGGCTTGTGTGGAGAAAGGGAACTCCCAAGGAAGGGTCTTGCCTCCATCTTTGATTGGAAAGATATTTATTTTTGTAATTTTAATGCTGCAATCTGTCCCGCTGGCCTGCAACAGGAGTGGTGCAGATCCAAAGACCCCAGCCTGCCCATTCGCTAAGCACCAGTTCTCTGCCATGCATGTTCCACAGTTGCACTGTTCTGAGATTGTAGATGTACACTCCAGTCACACGCCCGCCTGGCAGAGCTGGTGAGGACCATAGCCACAGTGCATCCCAGGAACCCCTTTCTTGAGCACAACACCATGGCCTAGAATGCCATTTTGTACCGGAAGTAGATGACCAAGATGAAACAAAACAAATTCATATTTGAGTAAGGATTTTGTTCTTAAGTGAGTCTTGAAAGGGAAGTTGGAGACTTACGAATGTGAACTGATGGGGGTCAAGAAGGTTAACACCAGAACTGGAGACTTATCAAGAATTCCTTAGTCTTCTGGGGTTCCTGGGATTTCATGCTGTCTCTGGGGAAGAAAGACTGGATAGCTGGTCTCACCGTTTTGAGGCGCCAGGTTAAAGGGGTCTCATCTCCTGCTTGCTTTTTGGCCTTTCTCAGTGCTTGTGTGCTCTCTGTCCGCTGCCTGCATGGGCCCTGCTAGGGAGGGAGAGGAAGCCAGGGGCGGACGGGCACTGCAGATGCCTGCCTGGAGCCCAGACCCACTATGTACAGCTGAAAGCTGGAACTCATCATCCTGATGGGGACTGTCACCACTGATCAAGTGCCAAAGCACAAGCCAACCTGAATTGCCTGACATTGGCACCCTAAGAGTTGTGTAGGGAGGAGGTTACCTTCTGTTTTCACCTGGCCCCTATGAGTTTCTGCATCCATTATGATTTACTTGGCAGACACCCATGGAAACGGAGATTAAGATTGATGGTGACACCGAGCACAATTGCACTGAGTCCTGTAGATTGTTAACTCTATCCAAGTTTTCATCTTCTGGCCTTTTGTGTACCCGAGGTCAACATTAACATTAACATCCCATTCAGTGAGTGCCAGCAGGTACCAGCTGATGTCAAGCTGGTGAGAAGGAGCCGGCACCTTGGGAACGGCCTCCTGGGCAGCAGTGTCCCTGATGTAACACACTGCGGGTGAGGAAGAGGAAGCCTGACATCTGAATACAGGGACGGAGTGCGGGTTCCTGCGCTTTCTCCTGCCTTGAAGGAACACTGGTAAGAGACAGGTCTCTCTGGAGGCGTCAGATCTTTGACGCATTAGCAAACCCTCCAAAACGATGTTTCCTCCAGGAGTGCTTGCCAGTGTGAAATCTATTTGTAACACTGGAGCTGGCTTATGGCCCTGCCCTCTTACAGGCCAACGTCCAAACACATGTGCGACAAACTTATATTGCTCTGCTTTTAGAGAAACTTCTCAAACTTATATCAATGCATAAGAATTACAGTTTCTTCCAATATATAAGCTTTCTTTTCTTTCCTTTTCTTTTCCTTCTTTCCTGGCTTCCTTCTTCCTGCATTTTGAAGCAAGTTGTGAAAATATCACAGGTCATAGAGCACCCAAGAATAGAACAGGCTATGTGGCTAATTAGGAAGAGCCTGATTTTCATTTTTCTGAAGAATGTCACTTTTCTAGTCTTCCCACTTGGGCACCAGAAAAATGACAACAGATGCTGGGTGACTTTGTCTCTCTTTGGAGGTCTTTCCTCTTCTTTTGACTCGGGCATTTAGGAAAAGGACTGGGAGGCTCATTGGAAAGAATTGCATGTATGCTACGAAAGAAATACACACAGTAAAAAAATAACAGTAGGTGAGTCGATTCTGGGAGAAAGTGCCAATGCCTGCTTTCTGGGTACTGGCGAGTTCCTCACCAGGCTACACTCCCAATGGTACCTCCCAGGGCTGGGTCTGGACTCCACGCAGGCCATCTGTGGTGCCCGTCAGCTCTGGGATTGCAATTTTTTTCTGTTCAGTGGCCTCAGAGAAGGTTTTTGTCCCTCCATCTTTTGCTGAGAGCATGGCTCCTTCCTTAGACATAACTGCTGCAGAAAAGAGAGACATTTTCTAAACGCTGAGGCGGGCACTGAGAGAAGAGGGCTCCATCTGTGCCCGCTCCGGGCCTGCTCACATTCCACAGTTTATGTGCAGCAACCCGGGCATGTGTTTTTGAAGAAAGTAATACTTGACTAAATTGTCCTCCTGACGTAAACCTGTAATTTAAAAATTACATATATTTAGAGAACAAGTCAAAACAGGAAGCAGATTCCCAAAGTGGGTTAAGATATTTATGTGTTAAATGCCTACTACTATCATAGTAGACCTGTGCGGCTGTGTTTAAACAAAAATTTCACAGAGCACAGGAAGAAGGAGTTGCGGAGCCAGCCTTTTGCAGTCTCTGGACAGGGCTGGGGCTTCCGGCTGGTCGCTCTGTCTGCTGTCCCCCCCACGGCAGCTTGTGATGCCCAGTGTCCCTTGTGTCAGTTCTGTTGCAAGAGCAGAGTATAGGCTCAGGCGAAACACAACAGAAAATTATATATGTCTCCATGTAGAAAAATGTAAGAGGCAGGAAAGTTTATTCTAAAATTCAAAGAGCAATACTAAGAAAAGAAATCGAAATTTGGGCAAATTCAAATAAGTTTGTACCCTTACAAGCCTTTGATTAATGATTCTAACATGAATCACCCTAAATAGGCCCTGCAGATAAACTTGGCCTTTTTGAAAGAGACATTCAGCCACAGACAACTTTTTGCACTTGATTTTGCAATGTTCTATGTTAATGAACCTTGTTTATATGCAGAGAAAAGTGAGAAGTTAATTTTGTTCTTAGAGAACCAGTCTAGCTGGGGAGACCAGACCACAAATGGAAAAGCCAAGTAAGGCGTCCAGAAGTAAACAACAACAAAGAGACAGAAAACAGCGGTGGGTGGTTCCAGGAACGGTCCTCAGAGAGGTCCGTGCTCCACTGCTTACAACTGAAATGCAGGACTCCGGCCTGCAGAGAGAGAAGCCAGGGACAGAATCGGCACCTGTCCACAGGAGAGTGTGCGAACTTCATCTAAAGCTTCCCCAGTGCTGGCCATCGGCAGGCGGACTGGTTTGCCATTGTGGATCCCTTCCAGGGCTGCAGCTAAGAGGACATAGCTAGGGGAGTGCAGGCCGGACACCTCCCTGTTCCACCGCGTCCTCCTGCAGGTCCAGCTGCTACTCTGCTGTGTGCTGTATCAGTGAGAGCAATGTCTTTACTACCGAGGGATCTTTTACACTATACTACATGAATATTAAAGCCTTTAACTTTGGCCTTTTCAAATACTTCTCTTATAGCATTTTTCAAGTAGCAGTCATTTAATAACGGTCAATGTTATTAAATGAGTGAATTAAACATGTTAAGTGGTTTTTAATTAATGTTGTGTTGCTTAAGGGTAAGAGGTGAGTCTCACGTTCCTTGGACCTAAGTACACGGTTCCCTGGGCCTTGGCAGTCGTTGGCTAAGTCCTCGGAGGCAACCTCTTCATCTTCATCTCCGGTATTCACACTCTTGTGTCATCCTTACCTGGAACGTTTCTGAACCCAGAGATTCATTTCTAATGAATGGCATATGGAACAAGGGACAGATACCTCTTCTGACATCAGGTGATCAAAGATTCATCTTGCAAACCCTCTTCCCTCACTGGCTTACTTTGACTGAAGCCACTTGCCACACTGAGCTGCTGGGTGGAGATTTCCACATGTCAAAACATCCAGCAGTCACTGACAAAGAACTGAGAGCTCTAATTTAAATGCTTGAGAGAAACTGAGGCACCGAGGAAGAGTGAGCTTAGATGTAGGTTCTCTCAAAATGAACTGCGATACATTGCTGGTGGGAATGTAAGTGAATACAGCTACTATCAGAAAATAGTACGAAGGTTCCCTGTCGATGTCCGCTCCCGGCCGGCAGGAAGGACACACGACAAAGTCTGGCAGTGGACAACCTTTTCTTTTATTTTCCTTCTCCGTACAGCCTGCCCTGGGATCGCTCCCAGCCGAAGCCTCCTTTGGTCCGCTCCCCGCGGCTCCTTTTGGGCTTCTACTTCCGGGCTTCTTTTTCCCCCCCAGGGGTGGCACCAGTATATATACGGATACAGTGTCCAATCATGTTAAAGTAAGCAAGGCAAGCTGATTGGCTAACATCATCAGTTGCCAGGCAGACTATATTGTTGAGCGGGTTGCTTACGCGGTAAGCAGGAAACTAACGTGCTCGATGGGAGGGGTAATCTACCTCAGGCTTTACTCTTTACTACAGGCCTCACGTCCGCCAAGTGAGGCGACCGGGCTCGGGGCTGCGGCTCCCAACAGTTCCCTGCAAAAATAGAAATAGAACTACGCATGACCCAGCAGTTCCTGAGTACGTCTGAGAGAAGTGAAGCCAGCACACAGCAGAGACCCCTGTGCAGTGAGTTTATTACAGCATTATCCACAAGAGCTAAGATACGGAACCAGCCCAAGTCCCCGGCAGTAGACCGGGCAGAGGAAAGGGAGTGCATAGAGGGGAGTGTAATTTAGCCACAAAGAATGAAATCCTGTCTGCTGCGGGAAAACAGGTGAAATTGGAAGACTTCATGTTGATAAAATAACCACACACAGAAAGACAAGTATCATGTATTTTCTCCAAAGTAGAAAAACACCAAAACAAAGGTGATCTGAAAAGGAGGAGTAGATCCTGGGAAGGGGTCAGGTGAGAAGGGAGAAAGTGGAGAAGGGAGAGGAGGCGGATGTGATATAGGGCAATGTATGCAGGTACGGAAATGCCACAGTGGAACTCATTGTTCTGGTTATTATACGCACACATAATAATATGAATAATAAAAAGCAGTGTTTGTCTCTACTGAGCCTTCATATGAAATGGCAACTTCCGTGCAGCCTACTATGAGACTTTGAGGCAATTGCCCAAGAAGGTGTGCCTGGATTCCTGACCCACTGAAACTGAGATAATAAATGTTTGTTGTTTTAAGCCTCAAGGTTCTGAGGTAATTTATTCTGGGCTATAAATAACAATTAAAAAGCCCACATAGATTAGTACAAATTATTCAGTTATTATTAGTTGTTGAAATCAAGGTATCAAAAGACTAAATGTATTTTCCATGGCCACCCAGAGAAGCAAAGTAAGAAATGACATTTAGATAAACAGCTGATAACCAGGCTTAATTTTTCCAAGACAGAAGAAAATTTTGACAGCATTTTGCATGAAATCACACTAATAGAATCTATGAGATCAGTAGACTTGTGCCATCTCTCCCCTCCAATTCCTTTTTAACCTCTTTGTAGAGTAGCCATTCTGTGCTGGGCCTTAGCTCAGGAAATATTATTCCTTTAATAAGGTAACCTTCTCTTTAAAAAAAAAAAAGCATTTCCAGTCAATCAGTGTACATCCAATAAAATGAGGTAGTGAGTACAAGGAGGACAGTAACATTCAAAAAAGCACTTAGCAACCAAATAATCTGCTTTCTACCTGTCATGCTGAGAATCACATTACCATTTATTCTTGAAAATCTTATTCCCAAACTGATCACGCTTCAAGAAGCATCTTCTTAATTACACATCCTTCTTACTTAATCAAGTGGAAAGGAAAACTATCATAAATGCAAGAGGAGTATTTTCCTTTCTAGTGATGTGTTTAACTAGGACCCCTGCATTCTTTCCATGGGGAAATAACATGGTTCTAAATTATCACTTATATGATTGAAGATGGCACTTAGGTGTAAAAAATGTTTCACATTAACCAGGGCAATTTTAAAAATTCCTTGAAGGAATCTCACATGCACTGGAAAGAAAGAAAGAAAGAAAGAAAGAAAGAAAGAAAGAAAGAAAGAAAGAAAGAAAGAAAGAAAGAAAGAAAGAAAGAAAGAAAGAAAAGAAAGAAAGAGAAAGAAGGAAGGAAAGAAAGAAAGAGACACACAGAGAAAGACAGACAGAGAAAGACAGTCAGGGAAAGACATTTAAAAGTTCAAACTTGCTAGTCTGGAGGTTAAATGTGCCTTTCTGCAAATCTCTTAAGTAAATCATAAAAACAAAAGCATTGCAGCCTTGATGGAGCCCTTCTGTCTGGTGTTATTGTTGGTAAATTGACCTTGGCGGGTTCCGATAGAGAGAGTACCACGGCGCAGACTGATAACAAGGTTTTCATACTCTGAGTGGTCAATAAATAAGGAACAATAAATCTGGCACTGAAAGAGAAATAAAACCTCACCTTTTGGGAGAAAATGCCAACTCTATCACGAGACTGCCCCTCGTGCTTTTGCCCAGGGCTGATGTAGCTCAGTGTGCGAGCTCTGGGTCAGCACAATGGCAGCCACTGTACCAGCAATGCGCTGTGCGATGCTATCAGTGAGTGTATGGTAGGCCCTGCCCTCGTTCAGTCCAATATCCCTGTTAATAAACATCGCTTCTCATTGCAGGAGGGGGACTGGGCAGCAGAAAATCTAAGCAACTTAACTAAAGCCCTTTAGCTAGTGACAAATTGAGTCAACATTTGAACTTGGGTCGTTTTAATTTAAAAGCCTGAATGCTCTTGACTGTACTATATGGAGTTCCAAGCTCTGGATTTCAAAGAGGGTTAAATGTAGGCCTTTAAGCCCATAGCTTTGATTCATGCTGGTGATACACTGCTTCCTTTAGTAAAAGGGTTTGCACCCAACCACGGTGGAGACCATGAGAGCTAAGCAATGACTTTCTCAGGGCAACGACTGCACCCGGAAGGCAGAGTGAAGGCCTCAAAATGATGGGTATTTGAAGAAAGTCAGAGGGCTATTTGTAGTATTCCATCCCCCAGAATATTTCTGAGAAACAATCCCAGCACACTTACTGATCTTCTCCAAAAGAACTCACATACAGCTGTACAACAACAGAAAACGTTCATACTCTAAGAAAAGGCCTTAGACACACCCACTGTCTGTTCCTCCGTATTAAGAATCCTGAGCAGTTTAATATTTCTAATCAGATAACGATGTGGCTTTGCCTCCCATGATAATACTGTGAAACACTGTAAATAGCAATGTGATATTTTGCATCATTTTCGCAGCAAATAAAATAAGTTGACTGGTTCCTTAAAAAATTATCAAGATACTCATTTTAGGGGAAATACGAGGGATTTTTGGCACACAGAGTCAAAGAAAGAACATGATACGCAGTGCGTGCTTGGTCCAGTTTTAACTTTCTGCAGGGACCCTCGCCCCACTTGCTTGTGCCCTCACACGGTTTTACTGTCATCGGACAGAAAGTCAATCTACCTACAAGTATTTATTTACTGCTGATCGCAAATCACATTATGCCCATTTTACCCTGGCAGCCTGTCTTATTTATGGTGAGGGTCTTATATTTCCTGTCATTCTTCTGGAGATTTTTCTCCGCATGGCTTCTAGTTCCCCTCATTAATCCTTCAAAACCCCTGGGAGGTACAAGTGTGCATATAATTTCCTCCGTATTCTAAAATACTGTTTAGAGTTTTGCTTTGAAATTGCTTTTAGGGCAGAATGTTTGGCTCTCTTAAGTGAACCTGTAATAAACACTGTTGAATTCTCTCCAAATTACCTCGAAGAATTACCTGCTTATCTGGAAGAAGCATCAGTGTAATTTTAGGGGATTTTGTTTGTATTCCGCAGCTCCAAGTCTTTGAACCCCTTCGCTGTCATTTTTCAGGCTTTCCACGGGAAGGGCTCTGCTGAGAATGGTGCTCCGCAGCACTCTCCCTCAGAAATGCCGAAGACTGTTTTTGTTTCTACTTTGGTACATGTGATTCCAGCTCCAAAGGAAGCAAGATTTCCAAGATTAGGACAGTTTAGTCTGGAAAGGAGGCTAGTTAAAGGGAGAGTGATTAAAAGCTACTTAGGGTTTTTGAGAAGGCTTGTGAAAACTAAGTGATCCATTTTCGACCTTTTAAAAAACTAAGCAAAGAAATGCTCCATGAACTAAACCGCAGGCCTAAATCCAATTATACATTTCTTTTACAGCCTTGGAGATAAGCACCACAACGAGCTCCCTTTTGCAGAGAAGGGACGGATCGGAAATGAGAAAAGCGAGCCAGCTGCACAGGGGCCCAGCGTTATAAGCAAAGGAGCAGTCAGAAGTCCTTGGTTGGACTCCGGAGCCCAGGCTTCCAGCCTTTGTGATATTTCCATGACGTGATCACTGCTCTTGCAGTTACTAGCCGCCGTCATCAGGGTTTTTCAGTTACCAGTTCCCCGGAAAAGCTCAGTAGTCCTTCCTGCTGATTCACAGGGTCTAGCACAGCCGAGGTGCTGCTCCAGGTCCACAAAGATCATTTTTCTGCAGCCAAAGAGAAACCGCAGCAGACTGGGTTAAACCCTGTCTCTTCCACAAATGCCTTGGGGGAGATTATCTGATCTCTCCAAACCTCAGTGTCTTTATGTGTTAAATAACGATATTAATATAATTACCTGGAGAAATCAGTAGGAGGCTGAAGGATGACCACTGTGTTCTCTAAATACTAGCTGTCATGTTTATTCCTCAGAGAGAGTTAAGAACGTTGTGGTGGGAAAGGAAGCGATGCTGGCAGTTGGGTAGTGGAGATTGTAGAGTTGGGAATATATTTACTTTTGGCAATATGGAGTCGGTGGTAAGAGCCCAATAACTTTTACGGATTTTCCTATTGGATGGGTTTGTAAACATCAGTGAAAATGTCTTCAAGCTAATTTAGAAATCACCCCCACACATTGGGGTTGCTAGCCAATATTTGAATAGTACAGTGAATCTTCAGGTAAAAAGATGAGTCCACAGTGAAGTCAGGTGGTCAGAGTGACCTCTGGGACAGGGTCCGGTCCATCGGCAGCAGGCATAGTAAAGGGAACGTGAGGTTCAGGACACAGATTAGAGTGATGTCTCATTGTGTCTGTGCAGGAAAAGCTCACTTTGGCTTCCTGAGTCAAGGCTAAGAACCCCAGAGGCCACAGCCTGAAGAAGCAGAGAGGGCGTCAGAGTGAGAGCGACTCAGTTCCTGAGCCGGGCACGATGCCCATCTCACTGCTAGGCCAACCTTCCTCCACTGATGACTGATGGACGGTAACGGGCCGGTGCCACACAGAGTGCCTTGCTCAGGAGACACGCAGAGCATCGGGTGCTCACAGTGGAGAGCTGCCCTGTTCCGCTGTTTCCTGCTGCACAGGATGGTGCAGCTGCCCAGTGATTATTTCCTGATTATTTTTTAAAGCAGTCGAAGAATCTGGTTAAATGAACATCAAGAATGACCACAGTGGATGAGAGGTGTCACTAAAGGGAATTATGACACTAGGGAGGGTGGCTTGTGGAGGAGGAAGTGGGTCAGTGCTTCCAGTTAGCCTGAGATCTTCCCTCTAGTCTGTCTTCTTGGGAGACTTACACATGCTGAGGTCTGACCTTTGGAAAATGCCAGAGTTTCTTCTGTTCACTTGGCCACCACTCTAAAGTCTGAGGTCCAGGAGCCACAGTGTGATCACTGAACACAGGAGCACTGGGTCTTTCTGCTTCTCCAGAGACTGGCGCTGGGTCCTGTGCTGGCCTCTCAAAGTTTGCTGATGGCCTGGAGAGCAGATAGCTCTGAAGAAATTGGCATTTGCCATCACCAATATGGTCCAAATGAAGCTCGGATAGTGGGGCTGACTAATGAAGAATGTTAGCAAAACCACTGTGAATTGTTACAAATATGTATGTATTTTCCAGTGAACATAAACTTTCCAGTGAGAAAAGTTTTCTTTTAGGAAGTGGTTTTCAGCTGTCTTCTAAAATTAAGTGGAAGCTTTAAAAATACCAGTTATGTTTTCCATATTTTTTATGCTTTAAGAAATAAATCAAGGTTTTTTTTTAATGAAAACTGTATTTCAGGATAATTGTGAAATTGCGTTCAGAAATAACATCAGGAGATCCACAGTAACCCTTCCCCGGTTTATCTCCTGCAAAACTCTGCTAGACGCTCACAACCTGGATGCTAACAATGGGTTTACTCGAGACGGAAGGCTCCTTCCCCTCACAGCCACCTCCTGTCGCCTTTCACAGTCACACTCCCCCATCTACTCCCGCCCCAGTTAAGCCCAGAAACCGCAAATCTGTTCTCTGTTTCTGCAATTTTGCTATTTGAAGAATGGCGTATAGATGGAACCATTGTGAATAGTCTTTTAGAGATTGCCATTTTTTAAAAACTCAGTAACTCTCTGGAGATTCATCCAGGTTGTTATGGGTATCAGTGGTTCATTTCTTTTTATTACTGAGTGTAGTAAACTAGATTACTGGATGTGCCACACTTTCTATAACCATTACCCACAGAAAGACACTTGGCTTCTTTCCAGTGTGGGGCCATTATGAAGCTACTGCAAACATTCAAGTACAGATGTTTGGTTCACATAAGTCTTCATTTCTAAGAACTGTTACACGAGTGAGAAATAAACTTCCTAAAGCTATTACAAATCTGGTCTTTGTTACAGAATAGCTGGTAACTATGTTCTCTATCCATCTATGCTAAATAATGAACATCTTTTTGTGATCACAATGGTTACTGATTCTTGAAGTAGCTGCAGGTACAATCTGTAACTTCACTGTAATAGAACATTTAAAACATGCCAGATCTCAGGCTGCATTCCAGATATACAAATTTATATAAGCCATAAAATCATTCTGTAGATCAAGGGCTGCATTTTCTATCATTTGCCAGATGAGGATGAAGGGACACAGGAAGAAAAGGCTGAAACTGAGATTAGAAGGGAAACAGACTGGTGCCAGGACCCACAGTTGTGCCACTGTTGTGTTACCTTTCTGTTCTGCTGAGTCTTTGCAAAATCTTTGTGAAATAGCTTTTGGAATTTCAAAGGAAGGCTCCAATAAAGCTAAATCCTTGGTTACTCCAAGGCCTGTGTACACTGATTGAATATAAAATATCACTTTGATTTCTGAGTTGTGGAAGGCAGCTTAGTGTGAGAACCTCATGATCTCCAGAGTTGCAGAACCCTCCTCCAGATAAGGCGATAGCGAAGCTCTCAAGGCTCCGTCCATGTGGTAGTTTTGCTCAGTAAGACCAATGACCTGAGGAACAAATGGAAACTCAGAATTTCTAGGGAGAGGTGTAGCCCAAAAGGAAGGAAATTGAACTGACTGTGCCCAGACACTTCTCCTGATTTGCTGCATTTTTAAAGATGATATTCTATCTTTCCAGAGAGTAAAAAACTAGAAAGACTTGAAAACTGAGCTGAATTCTTTTGCCTAATAATATTGAGGAACTGATAGAATTAGATGCCAATATCTAAATGTATTCTTTTTTTTTATTTTAAAGAGTTTAAGACAAAACAGGACATAACAAAGCAGATCAGAACAGAACAATGTAAGCAACACAGTATTTCACCAGAAGACAACCCGTAATTAACAGTAACTTCCACAATGTCTCTTTCTTTGCAATAATTGAGCATAACTTCATATACCATAGTATCAAACATAAAAAGATGGTATAAAACCATTCAAGACAATGAGAGTATTACAGGGCATTCAGAACCAAATAACAGAAAACGAACAATGGCTACTATATCATCTCATTTTCCATAGAAAATTTGTTTATACTATCACACGTAATACAATCCAATGAGATACAACATGATAGAGCCAATGGAAACAGAAGAGCAAAAACATGGTAGGACTTCAGAGTAAGATAATATTATATCTATCTAAATGTATTCTAATATCTAAATATATCACCTAATATTAGTAATAATGCCCTCTCGTTTATACGAATAGAAGTGGTTTGGACTGAGGACCAGAGAAGTTCATTCAAGATCACAAAGCAAGCTTCCACTGGAATCGGGACTTACCCCCATAACTCATTCCACTCCTGCTGTTCTGCTCCCAGACAGAAGACTCACAGCCCTGGGAAAGCCCTCCTGGGGAGGCTGCTGGGAGAAAGGGAAGAAGCTGCCACATACTCAGCCACACAGAACAAACATCTCAGAAAATATGTCCAGGCCAAGGCGGATCTACAACAGGATAAACAATTCTCACTTTGACTAATTAAACTAAACCAGAGTTAAAACAGCCAAAAATACATCTGAAGATTATTTCCAAAACGTGTGTTCTGTAGCATTAAAATGGACATTCAAATGATTAGTCTGTAATCATCTTTGCTAAAATAGAAGTCGCGCGTGTTCATTTGGTAGGGACATGTAGGACATGTGATAACATCCTATCTGTTCTCTCAGGGAGCCAGGTGGCTCCAGCTACTCCTCAGACTGATGTATTAAAGGAAGACACTCAGTGTCCCCTGCTGGAACTACAGCCACCACTCCTAGAAAGAAATTACTGTTTGGATATGTCTTATAACACCAAACTGATGTCAGACATCAGAATGAGCATTGAAAAACATGATCTTCATAAGCTGGTCTAATACAGGAGTGTAGAAAACATCTACATGAAGTATCACTGTGGAATCAAGAGGGTTAAAACGACTCTTGGCAAGAGCTGGAGCTAGGCGAGTGATCCAGGGCTGGGGCCAGGAGCGCAGGAGAATAGGGAGAGGACTCCACACCACACACCCATCCTCTGCCTATGACTTCTGTTGGAATACCTCCTTCCTTTCTTTCTCTCTTTCCTCCCTCCCTCCCTCCCCACTCCCTCCCTGCCTCCCTCCCTCCCTCCCTCCCTCCCTCCCTCCCTCCTTTCCTTCCTTCCTTTCTTCCTTCCTTCCTTCCTTTCTTCTTTTTCCTCTTCCTTTTCTT